GAAGTTGAAGGGTAAGCCCGCCAGGTGTCGCCAAAGAAACGAAGAGAATCAACTCGAAGAACGATGCAAAAAAAAAGCGACAATCTGGTAAAGAGTACATGAGCGCCGACACGAAAAAGGTTGTTCCAGCACGAATGATGAGAAAGGGCTGCGTTGGGATGGAATGTACGAGAGCTGGCTGTCAGTGTTCTGGAATCTCAGAAAAGGACAGGAGGGAGATATTTAAGGGCTTTTTCAGGGCAGTTTATAAACTGGCTGACCTGCAGAAGCAGAGAGAGAGAGTTCGTTGCGTGGCATATTGTGACGACAGAGCTCAAGGTCGGGAAACCAAACTCTCGACGCAGCAAAACGCATGCTTATTACATCACAGTCAATGGAAACCGCTTGAAAGTGTGTAGGAACACATTCCTTGCAACCTTGGGTATTCAGAGAAATGTACCCGAGTTGTTTTGTCAAAGATTACGGAGACCGCATTGTGGAAGAAGACAAGCGAGGGGGCAATCGGAGCATATGAAGACAAGAGAAGAACAAATCAGGGAGATGACCATTCAACACATTGGCAGATTTCTACGCGTGGAATCGCACTACTGTAGGGCCTCTTCCAGCAAAGAGTATCTCAACCCAGACCTCACATTGTCCAAAATGTACGACATGTCCGTGAAAAAAAATCCATACAATGACATCCCAAGTTTTCATACATCCAGACGAGTGCTCAAGACGAAAAACCTGGCCTTTCATAGTCCTAAAAAGGACCAATTCGCACTCAGCAACTCTTTCCGAAAAGGGGACGAAGTACAGAAAAATGAACTCAGGGAAATTTACAACAGGAAAGATGCAGAAAAACAAAAGGTGCGACAACTTAAGGAGGATTGCCAGAAGATGGTTCAAGCTGACCACAGCATTCTGGCTGGGAATTTTGATCTCCAGCAGGTCATATACTTGCCAATTTCACATGAAGATGCTTTGTTCTACAAAAGGAGGCTTTCCAGACAGACAGACAGACAGACAGACAGACAGACAGACAGACAGACAGACAGACAGACAGACAGACAGACAGACAGACAGACAGA